GGGCTTTATCACGTACCGAAATTTAACTAACCCATCTAATGATTGGTGCGAACTACGTGAGGATATAATAAGACGAGTCTTTTCTCTTCGGGTTTTATATGTGATTGCATTATTGAAGATATCTTTCTGATCTTTAATTTCTTGAAGGTCGAGAGCATGGCTGAGCTTCCCCCGTAAATTTTTAAGGTGGCGTCGTACATCTCGTCTTTTAATTGGTTCCCCAAACCCAACCACCGTCCAAAAGCGATCCACAGTTTTTTGTTCGAATAATCAACAGACGAATTGGATGTATCAACACCCCTATTCCACGAGTCATCACAAGCTAACCCATTAATGATATCACTATCAAGTAACGTTAGGAAATCGGGAGGGACTTCGAGTGACCTGAGAAGATTATTATGATTGGTTGATATTGCTTCATGGATTAATGATTCGATTAGTAGACTTTTCGTTGAAATTTCGTTTCGGGTCTTGGTTTTTTTTTTGATGAATAACTATCCATAGAGGTGAGAGGGGTACATATCCATTCTTTTTCCAAATAGTCCACCTTATCACGAATACATAGGCCACGAGTAGCATACTGGGTTCTATGCTTAATTACAAAATATTTGTTTTTCGTAATTAATGTAAACCAGTCTTGGGTTAAAAAACCTATCTCTAGAGCGACAAGATTACATTATATCGATGTGGGTACATTTTAATACTCGATCATATCACGGAGCTCATGCCAAGGCATAGAAAAATCGACATATAAACTTTTTTATCCAATACAAGACACACCACATGAAAATATCGACATAATATATAATCTCCCCAACTCGAATTCTTTATTAGCAAAGCCAGTATGACCGATACAATAAAAATACATGTTAATTTATACATTATCTCTAGGAGATTAAACAGTAGGACTTGGGTTAACATTTCGGGGTGGATGAGTATTAGCTTGTTATAATGCCTGCACTAATAAGCTTTTGTTAACGATCATTATGTTTCCTAAGTTTAATAATAAACGAACTAAAGATTTAGTGTGCGATGAATGTGGTGTTAATGGAATTTCAGAATGGTCTAGGTGGAAATACCTTGGTATACCACCCAAGTCGTTTACCAGAACATTGAGAAGCAAGTCCGTACCGGCAATCTGGAGCCCTACGATGCCAAATTGGTTTCTGACTGGTCTACATGATGAACCTATAAAGCTCATCCCATCTAATGTTTCTCTCCATATTTTACGTCATCATCTACTTTTTTCGAATTAGTACAGATGATACGTGAAGACTCGACGTACATCAACTCTAAAATCTTTTCATCCTGTTTCAGCAACCCCATAATATCAGGCTTCTTTTCCATTCGCTCTTCATCTACTCGTATATTTCGTCTAGCTTTGCTTGCTAGACTCTGGCGCTCTGCCGTACTTAAGCAAACAATATCGCCTCCCAAACTCGATCGAAGCAAAGGAATTATAACGTCTGTGACGTACTGTAAGTACCTTCACTTTGTTCACTGCGAGATGTACTAGTCATAAATGCGAGATTTTTCCATATCTCGCCACTAATGCATAGAATACATCGACATGACGTGGTTAGATAAAGTGTACTAGTAGCATGTGAAAACGTATATCATATATCAGGTAATTACTTAAGTGTTCCAAGAATACGTTCGGTTATTTTTATTATCGGAAGTATTCCTCATAGACCACGATGTATTCGAATTGTTAAAATTACTTATAAATTCATTACATTTCGTCGTAACTGAATCGGGGATGGTACATTTCATATTTTCTCGTGGTTCCAAAAAAGTACTCTTCTGCCTACGCCCTAGATTTTTTACCATGAACGAGTCGTCGCTAATAACCATACTCGCTTCGGGATCACGCCACGTAAGATTCGACACATCTACATTCTCGAGGGTTTGTCTAAGCGAACCATAAAGACTCGTATCCGTTTCTGACGCAGGATGCTAGACAATACAATTCTATTAGTTTTGAGAGTAATAACGCTTTATACTGTTTTATACTTGCCTCAAGTTTATATTTCAATTTATTAATATTCTCGTCTATTTCTTCCCGAGATCGATATGGGTACAATTCCTTTTCTATATTCAATGCCTTGAACGCCTTAAGACCTCGAACGCTAATATACCCACTCTCAGCCTATGGTAAATGCAATACGTATCCGGTGAACA